TCTTGCCCAAAGAAAAAAGCTTGCTTGATATTCTAACAGCCAAGCCATCTGCTTTTTTCCTGCTGGTCTTTCTTTCAAAGTATTTTCTGTTCTTTTAGTCATTCTGGGTTTGTATGCATGTTTTTCCAAGTGGGAATGTCCCAACCTAGAAGGTTCTGGGTGGCACTTAGGGTTCCACCTAAGGCCCCATACTCTGCAAAGGCTTAATAAGAAGACTATTTCCCTGGGAGTATTCTAATTCCCCTTTTAGCTGTTCCAATTAGTTATAGGCTGAAGATAGGCTTACAAGCTTTCTGTAATCATAATTCCCAATATTCATTTCTGTCACATTTAAATGTCAGTTTTACAATAGTAGGTAGGGGAAACTGGTATCCACAAGATAGTCAAGCCCATAAACATTTTTTCTCCTCCTTTACCCACTCAGATTATGTCTCGATCAGTGCATAATAGAACAGTGATGTTCCAAGATTGTGTATAAATTACTATTTAAATCTATCCCATTTAGCTCACGTATACCTCCCTAAATTTTCCTCATCTTCATTGTTCATCTACCACCCTCCCCTTCTTGTGTATTTCCTTACCCCTACTTGTATATTGCCCTCCCCATCACCCAGGCTATCACGTGCTACCCCTCTATCCTGTGAAATACTCTCCCTTCCTTCCCACCCTGGTAACCATCAACATTTTTTCTTTTAGTATGGAAATCTTTTCTTAATGTTTTACAATAATAGTTTCAACTGTGATTGACTAATTTCACTCAGTGTAATGTCCTCAAGCTTCATCCATGTTATGTGGTGTTTTACAGATTCATTGTTCTTCTCCAAGGTTGCACAGTATTCCATTGTGTGTACCTACCAAAATTTGTTTGTCCATTCTTCCATTGATGGGCACTTAGGCTCTCTCCATTTTTTTTGCTATTGTGAATAGTGCTGCTATGAACATTGTGTGCATAGATCTGTTCGTGTTCTGGCTCATATTTCTTGTGGATGTACACCAAGTAGAAGAATTGCTGGTTTATAAGGTATTTCTATTTCCAACTTTCTGAGGCAGTGCCATACCCTTTCCCACAGTGGTTGAACCATTTTACAGTTCCACCAGCAATGCAGTTAGTTCTCAGTCTTGCCACACCCTCACCAGCATTTGTTGTTTTCTGTATTTTTGAACTTTGCTGTTAATTCTGGTGTGAGATAATATCACATTATTGTTTTGATTTGTATCTCTCTAATGGCTAAAAATCATGAACATTTATGCATATGTTGGTTGCCTGAATATCTTCCTTGGTGAAGTGTCTGTTCATGTCCTGTGCCCATTTTTTAATTGGGTTATTTGTCTTTTTCTTATAGCGGTGTTGTAATTTCCTATAAATTATAGAGATTAGTCCCATGTCTGATACGTCATTGCAAAAAAAAATTCCCAGTCTGTGGGTTTCCTTTTAAATTTTTGGTGAAAATTTTGATACACAAATGTTTCTAATTTTTAGTGTGTCCCAGTCATTTATTTTGTCTTCTATTGTTTGTGTGTTTTAAATTTTTGTAAGGTTTGATAGTGTATATAGGTCATGTATTAGAGCCCCTAAGTTTGTCCCTATTGTTTCCTTGATGATCTTTATAGATCTGGGATTTACATTTAGGTCTTTAATCCAAGTTGAGTTAGTTTTTGTATATGGTGTGAAATATGGGTCTTGTTTCATTCTTTTGCAAATTGATTCCAATTTTGCCAATACCATTTGTTGAAGTGACTACCTCTTCTCCGTTTAATGTATTTTAGCTCTTTGTCAAAGATCATCTGATTGTATGTGGATGGATTTACTTCTGGGTTCTCAATTCTGTTCCATTGATCTATGTATCTTTCATTGTACCAGGCTGTTTGGACAACGGTGATTGTATAGTAAATTTTGAAATCAGGGAGCGAGAGACTTCCAACTTTGTTGTTGTTGTTGTGTGCCGTGGAGTCGGTTCGGACTCATTGTGACTCTGTACAGGGTTTCTGAGGCTGTAAATCTTTACGGGAGCAGAAAGCCTCATCTTTCTCCCATGGAACAGCTGGTGGTTTTGAACTGCTGACCATGAGATTAGCAGCCCAATTCGTAAACTGTGCTTAATTTACCCGAGGTCTCTTTCTTTTCCATATAAAGTTCATAATCATTTCTTCCATCTCTTTGAAAAATGTTGTTGGAATCTGGATTGGAATTGCAGTATATTTGTAGATTACTTTGGGCAGTATTGACATTTTCACAATGCTGAGTCTTCCTACTAATAAGCATGGCATATTCTTCCATTTTTGTAAATCTCTTTTGGTTTCTTATAGTAGTATTTTGTAGTTTTCTTTGTGTAGGTCCTTTGTTTCTCTGGTTAGATCTATTCCTATGTATTTCATCCTTGGGCTAGCTGTAGTAAGTGTATAATCAGTTTTTATGTTGTTTAAAAAGGCATTTGCCATTACAAATCATAGGTCTTGCAAAATTCTATCATGTGATCTCTAGCATAATTTTTATCACCAAGGTCATATTTTTTTACTTCTGT